ACCCCCCTGGGCTTTGTTTTTTTTTTTTTTTTTTTTTTTTTTTAAAAAGATGACCGGTAAGGGGATCTTAACCCTTGACTTGGTGTTGTCAGCACCACGCTCAGCCAGCGAGCTAACCAGCCATCCCTATATGGGATCCGAACCTGGGGCCTTGGTGTTATCAGCACCGCACTCTCCCCAGTGAGCCACGGGCCGGCCCATGCCTTGGGTTTCTTATCTCAGACAGGTTTAGTGAGGATCCTTGCCTGCTAGGACAGGTGTGAGGGTCAAGTGGTGAACTGGTGTTATCAGCACCGCACTCTCCCCAGTGAGCCACGGGCCGGCCCATGCCTTGGGTTTCTCATCTCAGACAGGTTTAGTGAGGATCCTTGCCTGCTAGGACAGGTGTGAGGGTCAAGTGGTGAACATCTGAGACTCTGCGTACTGGTTGTGTGTGTGGGAGGATTTCAAGATGAATAACACATGGCCCTTGTCTGGCAGTCTGGCCCTGCGCACAGACGCTGGGTGGGACAGAAAGCAAAAGGCAATGCTCTGTGAGGCTCTGCTGAGGCAGGCATGTGCCAGTCACCCTGGGCACAAGAGGGTGCCAGCTCACTGCCATCTGGAACCAGCAGACTTTACAGAAGTGATGCCGTGCTGGGCGGTAAAAAAGGAGTAGAATTTTCCTAGGTGTTGAAGATCAGGAACATGGGAGGGCAGGACACATGCTGGAGGGGTGGGGGTGCCCTAGGACAGCACAGTGTGGGCACTGAGGCTGCATAGGTCAGGCCAGGAAGCCATGGAACTCCTGCCAGGGTGGGTAATGAGATATATGGTTTCTAGGTAGCCCTGGCAGCTGGTGTGCAGGAGACTTGGCAGGCAGGGAAGAGGCTGGTGTGTAATTGAGCATGAGGTGATGAGGGCTGACTCCAGGTAGAGTCTCTGGGACAAGAGTAGGACAGAGACGCAGGAGGTGGTGCTCTCAGGAGGTGCCAGGCAGTTGGTCTGGGGGCCGTCAGGCAGGTGTGTGGCAAGGCCACTCCAAGGCAAATGTCAGCGTTGAGTGGATGGATGGATGGACGATGGATGGTGGTCATGTCCCTTCCTGGTTGGGGAATATGGAGGCAGATGTGGAACCTGTGGGGGCAGCCACCAGGGTGAATAATTGCAAAGATAGGAGGACATGTGGATTGGGCTGCAGAGTGGACGTAGACCTCAGGGAAGGGGAGACCACCTGAGGCATGCAGATCTGGCAGGGAATGAGCGACTCAGGAGAGGAAGGGCTTGGGTTTATCAGAGGGGTGGAGCTTGGCATAAAAGTGGAGGAAGAGTGCAGGAGAGAATGGTCACCACGACTGGCACTGGACTCTGTTGGAGGTCAGGTTAGATCATCTTCTTGTAGGGTGGGGTAGAACCAGCCAGTGGCAGATTGTCCAGGGGCTGCGTGCAGAGGACAGGCCCTGGACAGAGCAGCCACCTCCAAAATGGTGCTTCTCAGGGGCTCAGCAGTGGCCCTGTTCCAGGACAGGACCCTTGGGGCCAGAGTGCTCTGCCAGGTTGGGGGAGTGGGGCAGCCCTGCCCTGTGCCTTTGGCGAGGGCTCTGAGTAGGCACGGTCCCCAGTTTGTGCCCGCAGATGGGAATGCAGCCTGTGTGAAGGTGCTCCGGGACATCGAGCCAGGGGATGAAGTGACATGCTTCTACGGTGAGGGCTTCTTCGGCGAGAAGAACGAGCACTGTGAATGCTACACCTGTGAGAGGTGGGGACGGGGTGAGGGGCAGGCTAGCTGGCCCCCAGGGCCTGGGGTTCCTGAGCCCAGAAGTGCGTCCTTGGGGCCCATCTCGAGCATGTCCAACCCCAGCCTCTCCCTTTGTCCTGTCTCCCCCAAACCCGGCCCCAAGGAAAGGCGAAGGAGCTTTCCGACTACAGCCCAGGGAGCCTGTGCAGCAGCCACGGCCCCTGGACAAGTATGAGTTCCGAGAAACCAAGCGGCGGTTGCAGCAAAGCCTGGTTGGCAGCCGGCAGAGCCTGCTGGGTCCTCAGGCCTGTGCCCACCCCTCTCCACTGCGGCAGGACCCATTCTGCGGTGAGCACAGGGTGGGCGGGGACCCCATCCTGGCAGCCTATCCCCCTGATACCCTTTTCTTCCCTCTTCATATGGTCATCTGTCTCCTTTGTCCTGAGCTCTCTGCCCAGCCTGGACCCTTCCCTACCACCCTCAGGCCCGACAGGGCTTCACCGTTGAACAGCTCTCCTTGAGTTGTTCCTCCTCTGAAGAGTGAGGGGCAGAACTATCCCCTTTTCTAGAGGAGGACCTGCCCCAGACCCTGCTGACATAGCCTCTCCTTTGTCTCCTCTCCTCCCACTGGGCCCCGACAGCCGTCTGCCAGCCCCTGCACCTGCTGCCCTGCAGCGCCCGCCCGGATGCCTTGCCCCTCTGGCTCCAGTGGCTGCCCCAGTCCCAGCCCCGAGTGCGCCCCCGGAAGCG